TTTATTTTTAAGACAATTATTATTGTATACGCTTATGAAACTTTTACAGGTCGCGTAATAAACTAACAATTTGAAGTAATCGAGAGTGCAGCAGCTTAAGTTTCAGATTATGTAAGAGTCAAGATTGTCGCCTAGATAGCGATCGTGTCTAGTTAAACCATTAGATTACCTAACATGGTCTTGGATAACTTTATTGCAGAATTAACATTAGCGCAGGGCACGGAACATTTGGCGAGTACGGATCGCTGTATGCGCATTTCTGTTGTACGGATAGTTTTAGCATGACAACAGCGATGTTGCAACAGCAAAGCCTAGAACCCAGATGTCAGTCAGTTCGTGGATAGTTGTATTTGTAGTTTGCAAAAAGCTCGGCGTGGGTCGGCTGCACCTACTGCACTTCTAGTTTTACTGTGTCAAGAACAACGCCTCGTCCCCCGCCCCGCGTGTTCACCGCGCCATTATTTTGTCACCTGTGCTTAAAAACTTCGATAAAAACGGTACAGCATCTTCAATTTAAGGAGATAAAACAATACGATCATATATACACATTGACCATCATTTATTATTTTATTAAAATCGACACAAAAGAAAATGTAAGTTCAAATAAATCTCTTTGCTTAAAATGCTAAATTTAAAGACGAGACACAAGTAATGTTGTGTTATTTTTAAGAAAAATGTGGTATCGAATCGCATGTAGTAGGTATTGAAGGAATGCAATAAGTGATGATGTGAGTCCAGTTAGTGAAATACCAAATATTACTCGTCTTGAGATAACATAAAGATTACCGTTTTAGTGTCCGACCTTCCACAGGTCCTTGGCATATAATTATTGCGAAAGACATGAAAATTAAACCATATCGGCACGTACGCAGTGCAAATACATTCGGCAAGATATTATCCGTACAAAATGAAGAACGCGATAACTTTGTTTGAATTATACCTTTAGGTGCAGCCTGTGATTCTTGTAATTTACAGTTAAGTTTTACCTGAGTCTATACTCCGCATCCTTGAATCACACTCAACATGCGATAAAAGAAAACATGTCGAGACACGTACGTGCAAATTTGTGGGCCAGTCGCAATTATCGTTCTCGATCCTTTGTGCGAATATCAATGTATAATGCGCTGCCCTGTATTACGGTTTCAATTAGGGTAGGGTATGTGAATTTTTTTAAATATCGGTCAGCTCAAGAAGTACAATATTCATGGATATTTATTGAAATACTGCAATTCGATGCACACTGCACACGATACGAAACTTATAATATCAAACTCATAATTTACACATGTCAATTATAGGGGAAAAAACTAAATAATAAAAACTTGATTTTAACTAGCCATCTTTTTGACCCGCATCAAACGAGACAAAAGTTAAAAGTACCTGCTTACCTACCTAGGTAGAAACCATTAAAAAGCTCCTGGTTCCGTTCTCTAACATAAGATCAACTCGATGGTATCAATTCATTAATTAAAATGACATCCAGATTTCATATATTTACAAGTTTCAAATCGATGACAGTAATAAGTAGATCGACTTCCAAGATTTTATTACTTGGTTAGTTATAAGTGGAACTAATAAAAACTTGCACAAAAAAGGTATTAAATTATATAGCGTAAGTAACGTAACAACTTAACATGTTTCCGAATTTTTGGTGATTGGTCTTTAGACAAACGTAATAAAAATTAGGAAAAAAAATAAAAAAAAATTTATTGTTATAATCTCCTTCTCTTATCTAGGTCTGTATATGTATTTGTTGCTCTTTCCTTGTGTCTAACGGAGTAACGAGTCACCCTCACTTCGCTCCGGGTTCGTCCCAAGTGAAAAACAAATCTATCCCTCGGGAACCGTACATTTTTCCTGAATAAAAAGTAGCCTATGTGCTATTCAAGACTATAATCTATCTTGGTGCCTTTCATCCAGATCCGTTCAGCCGTTTTGGTGTAACACAAACATCTATCCATCCTCACAAACTATCACATTTAAATTATTAGTATGGATTTATGCAGATAGAATATTACTGAGAGTGACACATAGGCCATTTAAGATCAAATCACACATGGTGTATAACGTACATCTAGGAACGCATGCAAGCACAGGGTGGGTCGTTAGTTGCTAATATACGGTACATACTACATTCTATTAAGAGATAATTGCAAATACGTATATACTTTTTCTGTGACTATGGAACCCTAAAAATGTCTTCCTTAATCAAATTAGTTGTAATGCAGGAAGAAGAAAAGCTCATGATTCATAAACAATTAAGTTTAACATTTTGATAAACCACAACTCGAGTTAAATGAGACTATAAAAATAAATGTAAATCTTAAGTCCTTAAGGGACTTTGTCAAGTTGTATAGTATTTTTAGTGTAATAAAATAAAAAGTTCATGTGCTAATTGCCTATAACAACTCAAACTCGGCAATTTCTGTATGCCAGCGTCTGAATGATAGTCTTTTATTACATTATTATAGTGCAAGCTTTTTACAGTGAAGGTAAGACTACTTTTTAAGGAGCTTTTACTAAATGGAAAAATCTATGTTCTTTTATAAGCAGCTATACTTATTAGATATAAGATTTATAATTTTGAAATATTCAAAGGGTCTGTTACATATGAGTACTTTGAGCAGATAAATATTTATGAAAATAATGACATTTTTTCCTTTATAAAGCGTATTTATTTAAAAATCCATTCCGTAAACAACCAAATTGTTGCCTCTCGGAAGAAATTGAGGCAACTTTTTAAATTGGCCACTTTGTTATTTCGACAAGATCGTAGATAGTGTGCACGAGACTATAAAGTATACATTTTCGATTGAAGTGATGGCACATAAAAAAAATCTCCAAATATTTTGAAAAGTGAAACTTTTACAACTCCCATAATTGTTGCGCTGTCTGCAATTGCTAAACGACTGAACATTTTTACGTTTGCTTTTTAACACCCATCGTATTTTAAGTCCGAAGTTAATGTGATGCTTAAGAAAGTTTTATCTGGCTTACGTTAGGAGGGCAATATATTTACGATTTTGAACGTTTAAAATTTTAAATAACTACATACATATATTTAAAATAAAATTTAAAACAAAAGCATACAAAGATTGCTTTAGTTTGACCAAACTTAGAGAATTCAGTTCGCATAACACTTAAATATAAAATATTCTTAATCTCTGCATGATATTTACATATATTTAAGAATAAAATGGGAGAAATTATAAGTTCAGTGAATGGTTAGGCAAGTAACTGTTAAATTATATGATTCAACTTGCACGACTCTAATCTCGGCAAAATGACTTTTGCCCCCGCCGTTGCTCTAACAGTATCTGCATAATATATTTGTTATAATCGTACATTATTGAAAAAACAATTACATATAACCATTTTTTTAATAATTTATCACGATTTTAAAACAAAGAAGAAATGGGAGCAGATTACCAGATATCAACTAATTGCTACATTTGTACATAATATGGCATCGTGATTTTGTTACTGTTAAACGTTATTCTTTTATCAATAGTCACTGAAAATTTAAGCCGCAAAATAACCGATACCCTAGATAAAAAAAAATATCAATAGGTTTAATTCAAACTGTCCATGTTACTGTTAAACGATATAAGACTTTTTCAAGAAAATGTTGCATATTTTTATCATAATTTCAGAGAATTAAAAACGATGTGTTTTCTGTTCTGTCCTTCAAACTGTCTATGTATGTAATACATACATATTATACAGTAGGCATACACAATGTTTTGACAACACATTTGGCTCATTTTGTAGTGACTCTACTTGCTGTGCATGTGTGATCGCGGGTTCAAGTCCCGCTGGGGATTTGTATGAACACGAATATTTGTACTCCAGTCATGGGTGTTTATTTTTATAAATGTATGTTTTTAAAGTTACAAATGTGTAGCGTATCAACTATCTGGCTTCCTTAAAAAAATCTCGTTGCTTACCATGGAACTAGATGGTGATGTGTGTTAATGTCTCAACATATTTTAAATAGCACAATTGTCTTAATAAGCAAAGAATTTTACTGATTGTTGAAAATTCGGCAATCAGATAATGGGTTTGTTGTGCATGTTCACAGATGGCGCTTTTAGTATTTATAAATTGTTTGTCACTGTTAAAAAGTAATAAAATAACTGAAATGGGTGAATTTTACAATAGTTGACATGTTTTAGTTAACAAATATTTATGAAATAAAATATGTTTGAAAAATTTGCACACCAATGAAATTTATTATCTATAACTCAGATAAACAAATTTCATGATCCAAGCTGATATTAACATTTTGAGATTTCGTAATTAATCACTAAGTGGTGAGTAGATTAAACGATAAAGTTGCATTTATTTGGAATCTTCTCATTGTCAGTGTCAGTATATTACAGCACCTCACTTATACTATTTTCTTGAAAAAGTTGTATCATTTACTAACAAGCAGTGCCATCTATAAGAGAGGCGAAACATTAAAATGTACATGTGGCAGTATTGTAATGTTAACATTATTCATCACTAGATGGCACTGCATTACTAATCATTACATTTATAAGGAAGGAAAATTTTATCTGTAATTTAATCTATGTATCTATACTAAAATATTATTAATTATAAATTATCATTGATTTGTAACAGGCTTATATTAAATTATTATTCAACTTAATCATATTAGAAAAGGGACTATGCAAACTCATATATTTACAATATTTCTTGCATGGCTGGTGTTCAAAGGTTAAATAGATACATAGAATTTGTTCAAATAAACGAGTTGAGTAATATTTATGATAAATAAATGTGGAATTTCTTACATTTATAAATAAATGTAATCTTTACTGGATTAGTTGGACTGGACCCATAGGGTACCTCATAAGTTATGAGATGTCTTTGACTCTTCTGGATAAAACCAATCATTACAAGATTATTTCTTAAAAATCTATCTCAAATATAAAACACAAAACTTTTTTTATGCTTTCCACCTAAACATACAAATTATTATTAAAACAAACCTACCTGTCATGATCTCTACTGCGGCTACGTTTTCTGTATGACTCCTCCCTGACACCCTCGTCTAATCGCCGACGCTTTGCTTCATACGACCGTGACCGCGAATGTGATGCGTAGTGCTTCCTACGAGTGCGCGGCATCTGGAAACATAGACTTATATTATATTATGTATATCAATAACAACTCAATTCACCATGAAAATGGCACTCCTATTAGCCAATATGTATACAACTGTTAAATTTATTAACAATTGTTTTATACAATGGCAGTAAAGGCGAAAATGCACGCTTGTTAATTCACTCGGAAATTCCATTAGTTGAAAGAAAAGGTATATGTAATACATAGTATAGAGGAATGCAAAGTAATCACTATAATGTAATATACTGTTGATGATATTGATGAGTTATTAATACATTTAACCCAATGAATATTATTATTTATTACGTATACAAATCAATGTATAAAGGTGTATTGGCTTGAAGGAAGTTTATAATTTAAAACAATAGAAATGAGAAAAAACGCTAAAAAATAAATGTACAATTAAAAATGTTCAATTATATGTTAGCTAAGTTCTTTTTGAAGGCCAAAGCATTAATTTATTAAATAATGACTTCAAATACAAAACAAGCTAATTAATTACATTATACTACCTATACACCACTTAAACTTCTAAATATATTAATAATAAATCCTTGCCTACCCAGTTGCCTTTGAAAGTGAATCAAATAATTTCACTTTCATACACATTGAGCAGTTAATAAAAAGCCATTGAAATAATGAATTTACTTGAGCAAAAAAGCTAAATCACTTTTGTTTTCAATTATATCTGCATTACAAAACAGTACTTTCACACAATACTAATTCAATGTTTTGAAACTTTGAAAATTGCCTGCTTCTTACTTTCATATTCACAAATTACGAAAGCCTATATAATGAATACATCTTTTATTGTACTATACATACACTAAATAACAAAATTGCTCAGTTTGTCGAGTAAATTATTTTTGTTAATGTAAATCTTTTATGTATTTCAAATAGTTTTCAAAAGTGCTGTGCTAGATAGAGATTACAATAATAGTTTGACCATTTTTGATAAAAGTAAAAACAAAAAATTTGCTGTGTCTAATGTTATTATCAACATGTAGTGTTTTTTTTAGAATTAATATTATTAAAACACTTATTTAATTAAATATTTTAATGCTCAGTGTGAAAGTTTCATATAATTTACTTTGCCAATGTGCTATTGAAGATACAAAGGAATTTGATCAGTAAAAAAATATCATTATAATCACCTATATTAATAATTTAATGTTATTACATATATAGTTTATATTAATAACTATATATAGGATCTAAAAATTAAGAACACGACTACAATATTATATTAGTTGATTAAGCACTACTCTCACATATGATTTGTGGGAATTTTGCATGTTTATTGATGATAAACTATTAATATTTAAAGTGTTAAAGTTAGAAAAGTTGTGTGAAAAAATTTCTTTATCAGTTATGTATAAACCATTAAATCAATTTAAATGAAACATTTTCACTTTGGTTTTGATAAGATTTCTATTAATAAAAACATTACATTTTAAGGTATTATTCTTTTAGATTTCAAAATAGGATATAAATGTCGAGTGATTTATGAATTTGCATTAAGTGAAAGATTGTTATGAAGCCATACCAGATAGAAGTTGTAGTTCATGCATATATACAACTTTTAATTAATCTATTACAATGTTGAGGTTCTGATAAAAAAATTAGGAAAGTACTGCTGGTACCCCCACTTACCATAAAAAGGATATCAAAACTCGTATCCAAGCAGTATAAGCTGAAAAACATTAAACTTTTTAGACCACCAGTAACTGGTCAAAATGTTGGTGTTACAAACTAGTAACCCACATGCATCATATTAGATAATATATTTATTATAAAATATTATAGATTTTCATAAAAGTTATAACTTTACCAAAATGAAGTATGTCACAATACAAACATACTTGAATATACATTTTCATTGGTCATTTAATATAAAGCTAATATAAGGATAATTATTGTTTAAAATCCAATTATTAAAGTGATTTGGCAGAGATATTGATAAAAGTCAAATATAATTTAATAGGAAACAACTGTCACGTAAGAAGTTTGTATCTCACCAGCTGTAGTTTTTAATGCGTAGAGTGCATTAATGTAAAAAAAAAAACTTAACGCAAAGTAGTAAACTATTATTTACGGAAATTGCCTTTAAAAATTTCTAGAAGTAATAACTAGAAATAATTAACACCAAAACATCCCATGCTGCCAAACTAGATGTCACTAGAAGTTATTTACATGCTGACGCCATGTTCTTTCTACGGGTCGAGGAAGCCCTACGTACACCAAGAGAAAAATATCTAAAATTTCAGTTCCACTTACCCTAAGTTCACGTAAATATTTCAATTTACACCAAAGCAGTTGAGTAAAATTAGTAAGGCAATTCCAAGTTCGCGATGCAGATCCCTGAAGAATGCTTCTTCGCAATAAAGGCCCGAACATCGATCCAAAGGCGAAGACAGCCGATATTTAATGGTTGGCAACACTGTCTTGGCGTAAAATTTCGCCAAAAACTGTTTCCTGTTGATAAAAGGTATATTTTCAAAAAAATAAATAAATAGGTATTATAAATACTTTAATGAATATATATGCAGTAATTGCATATATAATATATTAGTTTTATTCCATATTTGAAATTAAAATAAAAAACAAAACTAAAATCAGAACGGGAAGAGTACTGCCAATCTACAGAAATAAATCGATGGTGCCAACTTATAGAAACGTATTCGTTTAGAAACATATTACGTATATTATATTTGGAGATCTTGATTGAACGTAATCATGCTTAGATAAAAGCATGTAAAAATACATTACATAAAAAAGCTCTGTAGTAATTATAAATTAACATAATAATTATTATTCATCTATGGTAGAAGATACTTAAAATATAGACTAAAAAATATAATTATTAAAAATAAAAAAGCTGTCAAAAACATTGTTTTAATATTTTTAATTTTTTTAGTCATCCATAATTAGTATGGAGGGTAGAGGTAAGGAGAACCAACTTTTAAGGGACAAGATGAAAAATGTCCCCATATAAGCGGTTAATAACAGTTCAAAATCCTTCGGAAGTGGTGTTAGCGTAGATGGAAGGTATGATATGAATGTAGCAATTGTAGACGGATGAAGTGTGCTAAGTTGAAAATATAATATTTAGGGGAGAAGAAAAAGTGACGAAAGACTACTTAATGAAACTGCAAAAAGTATGCAAAATCTCATCTTTTTACTTAGTTCAAAATACGTTACTAAATAAGTATAACCTAATAAATTTCTGTGAGATAATGCAGTCCTACTCTAATAACTTTGGCGCTTTTTTTAAATTTACCTACTTGCAACAGTAGCGCCACCCTCATTTAACTTTTTTTGTAATTACGTTTTTACAAATTATTCTCAAGTGAAGGAAAACTTAATAATGGTATCGTACATAAAATTTTCGTAATATTATATGGTTATTGAAAAATCAACAAACAGGTGATGAATTCGTAGTAAATATATATTTACAAATGGTGCCTTTATCATTTACTAGACGCTCGCCCTCGCTTCGCTCGGGTTCACCTCTACAAAAACACAAATAGATCTACCCCACGGGAACAATACTTTTTCCGGGATAAAAAGTAACGTATGTGTTATTCCAGACTATAATCTATCTCTGTGCCAAATTTCATCCAGATCATGCCATGTAAGTTTCTAAAGACAACTCGACAAAATCAATTATTGTGATTAAAAAGGTATCCTAAATATTGACCTGAGTAAAAGTTATCACTACACAAAATTTAGTTAAAATCGTATCAGTACTTATTGCGTGAAACTCATAACGTAACAAACAAAAAAACCAAACAGCATACTGAGATACTGACAAAAAAATCACTAACTATTGTTTTGGGGTCTATATTCTATATTCTTTACACAATATGTTAGTCTTTTTTTTTTAATATTTAATGTACATATTTCGCTAAGTTATTATTTTATTTATGTTGAAAGTGGGAACTCTTTTCCAGGATTTTATATTATTACGAAATCCTTTTCCAAGTCATACGAAGGTTATAAAGGGAGCGTGAGGGCTATACCACCTACATATATGTATATATGTAGGTACGGTACGTACCTTTTCTCCCTCACGTCTGCGGCTACCAAGGGCGCGGTACAGAAAAAAATAACAAGTCTCTTTGATCCTAATAATCATAATGTTTGCGGAGACATATTATCGTCCGATTATTCTAAGCTTAATCTATTAAGTAAAATTTTTATGTTGTAACTTGTAAGTATCAGGCATTCGAAAGAAGAAGTTCTGTTCTATATAAATTTTGCCTTCTTTAACCTTTCGGAGACAAATATCCATTAGTACCTATGTCAATATACCTAAAAGGTACCTACCTGTTTCAATATAAGAACAGCCTGTCAAAATAGCCGTTTAAGTACAGCAGTTTGATCTGGATTTTTTGTGAATCAATCAAAGCAAACAGCTCAGATTTATATGGTACTTATAGAAAAATCAAATAGGACTTTACTCACTCAAGTTTAAATTAGGTACTATATTTTGAAAAGGAGAAACTTTTTGAAGAAATTCACTGTTTCCACTGAACCAAATCACAATTTCTTAAACAAACTGTGTTTGTTAGCCGTTAGTGCGCAAGATAAGATATTCATGAAACTTAAACTAAGATAATTTTATTCGTACGTCTAATCTTAACCTTCATAGATAGCATAAACAATTTATGTATTTAAAATCAAGTATATATTTTCCACTTGACAATTATTAATAACTTTTGATTATTAGATTTTCATGGTATCTATAATTTATCTTTTATGATAAATATAAGGCAATTGAGATTTGAGAGCACCATTGGAAACCACTTTATATGATTTGTAATATTCCTATCCTGTACAGAGTAGATAGAAATATTTCCAGTTTTCATTTGAATGAAAAAAAATGTTTTTGGTCAATCGTGAACAATATATATATATATATTGTTCACTTCCAACTACAATATCAAAGCAAAACTCTCTCTATCATGATCAACCAACGTTACTAAGCCACGTATCTACAAAGAATGTCGTGATGGCGTCTCGACCCCGCTCGAGACTAAATCTCTGCTCTAAATTCAAAATAACTTTAAAAGCAATAAAAAGTAAATTAAAGAACATAGTGACTTTAAACAATCATAAGGTTTCATAACAGAAAAAGGTAACTAAATCCTCCTCCGTCTTATATATATATATATATATATATATATATATATATATATATATATATATATATATATATATATATATATTATAATAGCACATCGCGAATATGATTGGTACAGTCAAAAATAAATATAATTAATTATAAGATAAACAATATTAATTTTGCTCAGGTCTATATTATTGCTATCTATACATTAAACAAATGAGCTATATTTGTTTAGCAGAGATAAAATCCTAAGCCAATGACCGCTATAACTAGAGTTACCATTACGAAATTTTAAATGTTGACTGGCGAAAATCTCAAAAACACACTGTCAACCATGTCTTATTTTTTACTTATTTCGGTCGCCTTATTTATCATTGTATTGTGGTAATTTTTCAAACTCGGCTAAAAATCCTCACAAAATCAGGAGGTAGGAGGAGAAGACCAAATATCTGGACAATATCTAGACAGAAGCCCGAATATGCGAAATTGTCCGGAAAAATTCGAACAGATATGATGCACCAAATTGTAATGTAAACTGTGCAATAACATGTTTAATAATTATTTTAGACATAGAGTTTACCGTTTTCGAGAAAATCAGAAAAAATCATGAAAGAAATACAAATCTAGTTAGTCCTTTTTATCTACTTCCAATTATCATATCGACTTGAAACTTTGCAAGTTTTTGTATTTCTGAGGATGATATAGTTATTTGGTATCATCAAGCTGAGCTGATGGCCAGAAGGTGGATAGTGGAACTCTTCAACAACTACTAGTATATACTTTGAGTTTGAGCTTATTTGGTTTCATTTGATAAACCCAATACGTCAGAATTGGAGTTTAGAGGCTGATTTTTAGTGTTAGTATTAATAAAAGTGAGTTTTTTAATATGTTAATCTTTATATAAAATTTAATCGAATATGTTATTAAAAAGCCAATTGCCAAGCCAAATGTAATAGTAAAAGCACCGACTTCAAACCTATCAATAGAGAGCACATACAAATAATAGTATTTTATTAATATTAAAGGTATTACCTTTAAAACCTAGTTTGCTTAAGAGGTGTATTAAATTAAATCTTTATTAAGTTATTTTATACGTTTTAGTTTTTGAAGTAAGTTTTTTTCAACGTAGTTTTTTTTATTTTTTAGTGTCTGTAATAGGTTGTTCTGTAAACTACAGTAGGTAATAATGTAACGATCGGTTATAATATTTCTCAGTTTCTCTATCCTCACGCTAGCTCTGCTTCAATGACAGGTAGTCTAGTACCCACCCACTTATCTGGACACGGGTTAATAATAATATACAATCAAACTAAATGAAAACTCCTAAAAAGCCGTAGGTACACAAACTAAAATAGAATTACATCGTCCACGTAAACAAAAATGTTCATAAAATGAAAACTACTGGGCCAAACTATGTTAATTTTTTAAGGGACCAAATGGTAACTATTCCGCATCAATTTAAAGATGAATCACGTAAATCGGATCATAAATATCAGCATATTCGGCGTACCCACATTAAAAATACCAATCGAATGGAGAACCTCCTTTTTGAAGTCGGATTATATAATCGTTTTACTTAATGCATATGAAATTATATACGGTAGATACTTATAAAAACTCATTTTTTTTTTAATTTTTGTCTGTCAGTCTGTTTGTTCCGGATAATCTATGAAACGGCTGGATTGATTTTGACGGGACTTTCACTGGAAGATAGCTGATGTTATAGGGAGTAACATAGGCTACTTTTATTTTAAAAAAAGAATTAGGGTTCCGCTCCAAAAAATTAAAACGTACTTAACGTACTACGCTGGTTGATGTATAATATTTTAGTTATAGTTAGAGTTCATATACATTATGACAAATAATAGTTTACCTATGTATTAGATATTCCTAAAAGCATTGTCAGCTGGGATCGAATTCAAAAATATCTGATTAGGTATTTATAGTAAATGAAAACACCGTTCGATTATTTTTCACTTTTTAGTGCCTGGAAGTCGGTTTTTATTTTCTTAAAGTTTTTATTTAACCTACTTACTTTATTATTCCTTTAAGTTATTCCAAAATAAAATTTTTAACATTTATTATTTAAACTAATACTATTATTATATTATCCCATTTAATAATACTATGTACAATAGATATTATAAATACTATAAATCAAGTTAGTAAATCTTTCTAACTGTATAAAAGCAAGGTTATTCTTTAGAACAAATACAAATTTTAACAAATATCGTGGCACCATTAGGTAAGTACATTTGGACCTAAAACACTAAATATGCTTATTCCTTGACCAAATTTGCAATTATATTATTATATTTAGTTATATTATTAGAATTTAGAAGAATTGTGATAATGTACTAGCATCAGTTAGTAGCATGAGGATATTTTTGAATAAAATTATAAAGTTAATATTATTAAACTTATGATAAAAAATATATATTGCATTACAAATAATTGCTAAATTATTTATTACATTACATTTTTATTAAATAAAAAACGTATAACAGAATCACGCTCTGTTTTACAAACGTTGCGTAACCTGAATAATTTAATTATAATCATGACTAAAAAGTATGCTCAGTGAAAGTGTGTTTAATTAGGAATGATGCAATCAACTAATTGTAGGTCTTTAAACGAAAATTTCGTAATAAATACATAAAATCAGAAGATAAATCTCTGAAAGAATTACAGTGGATAAGAAGGCAAGCTTGCCTGGCGGGAATCAGCTGATCGGGATTGCGCAGTGCGCAAATATAGGGTGCGGGGTGCAAGGGGTAGGACTGGCACGGGGCGAGCGGCGCCCAGCCAGTCGCGCGCGCTCCGAGACCGCCGCACCGCCGCGTCACGCGACTCTTCACCACGCGGTAGCCAAAAATATCCACTGATAACGCTAACCTGAGAGAAAAGTTACACCCTATTAACTCAGAACAATACCAGCACACCTATTCAATGCTCTAGCTGTGATATTCATTTAAAAATCACACGCCATGCGTGCACGAATTAGATCGCGAGCCGCCTTGCAGTCTCCCGCTCTTCCGTGCCGGGCACATTCTGTGTCATTATGAGAGACGTTCAGAGCTTGCCCGATTCGTGTACAAATATGTACGATATGTCAATTCAGGAGGTGAACGGCAAGGGACCTAAAAAGAGGAAAAAGTCTTTAGAAATCTGTGATAATGATCAACGTGCTGAGTTAAATGAGGGTGTGCGAGAGGAGAGCGAGGGTGGAGAATTTAAGAATGGCGGTGGTTCGAAGGTTTCTCGAGCGGAGGTCAGCGAGGGTGTGGAGTTGCTGCACTGGCGCGACATGCCGCAGCACTTGCAGTTCAACCCATACGTACTGACCGGCTATCGGCCCTTGCAGAGTTGGGGCGGATGCGTACGCAGTCTCTTCTACTTCCACAATGAGACGATTAATATTTTAACGCACGGTACGTATAATACTAAATTCAATTGTATTATGTACATGTTACTTAAAATTTCGGCGCCAAAGTAGTTTAGCTAAGTAGGCTAACATGTTCTTTTACATTATTAAGCACCTTTAATAGCATATTTGCATTCATAAATTACTTTTTTCGAAAACGGTTTGGCATTACAAAGCAGTAGCAAAGTAAGATCATGGAACTAATGGACGTTATGTAAGGTCTTTTTCATAATTACAGCTCACTACACTTTTCGTTCTTTGATATCAGGAACAGGTCTTTCAAATTTACATAATTAGGATTCTGATTTACATATAATTTTATTTGAATATAAATCGATAGTAACCCGAAAGTAAGTTGAAACTGTGCTACCCTTAAGGGGTTAAATTTATTTTCTCATGCAAGGATATGTGTGGTAACGTCCAACAACCCTTGTCAAGAGACCCTTATTTTAATATTTGTGTTTCCAAGAAGAAAGCGTACGTTCATTACAATACTAAAGATATCTACTGATTTTATAAGAGAAATTAAATATTTTTATTCACTATAATAATATTATAATTATATAATGTATTTATTATCTGTATCGTCAACCGAATATAATTAAATAAAAACTAAACTTTATATTTTACAACAAAACAACCATTACATGCAATCAGGCATTCTGCGAGCAGTGCATTAAATTCCTTGCATTGCTACGAAATCGTAGCCGCACGCTACGTTTCGTTCAGTCGTTTCTATCGGTATGTTCGCAACAAATAAGTCCTTTAGAAATGTTGATTTCTACAATCGATACCCGTTATCAATAAAATATAATTCCATTCAATTCTTTTGTTTATTGGCTTTTAGGACACAATTTACTTGATGACATATTTTTTTGACCATGTAACATAATTAAATATGTAATTTCCATACATTTTTTAAAGTTTTTTCTAGCGATTACTGTTTCACAATATTATCTTGTTTATTCCCCTGTAGGTACAGAAAAATAGGTATACATTATTAGATTTTATTACTTACAGATGATTTAATCTATACATATAATAAAAGTGTAACTGATCACTGTCTGCACATGAAAGATAAAAAAAATTACTATTGGGGATTCTTGGTAAAAAATAAATATAAAGAAGATTAATAAATCAATAAAAGTTATTATTATAATATATGTTTAAACTTAAAAATTGTACTTGTATGAATAGTAAAATTCGTTAAATAAAACATAGATATTACAAAGATTTTTAATCAAAGACAATAAAATATAGGCACGTCTCGAATACATATATGAATTTTCAGCAAAACATGTTAAATTAGAAAACATTGGTTTTTATTCGTTGCAAAAATAAAGAACTAATAATATAAAAAGATCTTTCAATATTTTCTGTTTTTATAAAAATAGTTCTATTACCCCAGATATCATTAACTGTCAGCCTCGATTCAGCTCCAACGATTCATCTTTAGCAAAGCTGCCTTGAGTTATCAGTCTTTTCTTCGAACGTTGTCCTCATTTAGGGCGGCTCAAGTAATTTTTCATATGATCTCGAAGATTTGTTAAACGATTTTCTTCTAAGGGGATGAAATAAAAAAATTGAATTTTAATAAGCAAAGGTTTTATCTATAGGTATATATTATAAAATAGTAACATAGCGAAATGTGTACGTAAAATATGTATTTTTAAAACAATTCCCGTTTATTGTATACAGAATATACATGTACCTCAAAACAAAAGTTGTAGAAATGTTTGGCTGTTGTCTGTATATCTGTGTGCATTTCACACAAAAAGCACTCAACGGGTTTTAACTAAATCGTGTAGGTAATAATAATTTATTACTCGGGTCAACATTTAGGAAACCTTTTACTACAAGAAAATCTCTTATTCGTACAGGAAAGTACAATAACTCAGGTCGTCCCAGATGTCCTTCATACAAAAATTTCCATGATTTATTATACAAAACTTTTAGTAGCAGGGTTATTGTTAAGATTTTTTTAGAATTTAGTGCGGTAAAATCTTCCATTTGCATGAGAAAATGAAAAATTTAATTCCAGTGACTCATTTGTATCTATAACTATATATTACTATATATACGCCAAAGAAGTATAACTTCTTACGTGCGTAATTAAGTACATACACAAGTATGTTATTTATTTAAAACGTATCTAACAGACTCGAGCGAAGCGGCGGTAAGTTGCTGATATTATATAATTTTGAACCAGTCATAAAAATGTAAAAATAAACTAAATCCTTTGTTGTAGTACTTACGATGTAGTACATATATAATGGAATTGCTATTATTTTAATTTTACATTAATTTAATGTGCAAATTATTACCCTTTAGAGGTAGATAAGAAATCTAGAATTAGTATGTTTAGGATAAAACCATTTGAAGTTTTCTTATATCTCATTTGAACGTTTCTCTTAACAAAATTACAGCCGCTTTGCTATTGTTTAGATTTCACGAAGCGAAACGACTGTAGAGGGTTGCAATATTTTAGTGTCGCCTTTAAAAAAACATAAGAAAGAATTAAAGATATAAGAAAGAATTATAGATAAGTTCAGTAATTTTGTTATATTTACCTACTTATATTCGTATATATATTCAAGAAATATGAATTCATACATTTACATAAGAAAAAAATTAAAATCTTTCGACCATGACGAAAAGTGCGGTTAATTATTTACAATTTAACATCTCTCTAACATAAATTTTAATTATGTTTGCTTTTCTTTCATGCAGTAAAGAGCAACCGATTTATGTGATTTTTAAGCAATAGTACTTTCTTATATTTACACGAATACCTATTTGATATTTTAAATAAAACTGTTTTCGGATTTTATCGCAGATACATTTTGTCTCTCCCGAGACCATGATCGGTGTAAAGCATTCGACACATTGGGAACCAAACAATAAAATTTTACAAGTTTTTTTTATAAAGCACAGGCCGCAATATCGTCACATGTTTATTGTATTGTAAATTACGTTGAAGCTTGAGAATTTGTGCCGCCATTAAGCTACTACACGTGTGGGCGCGACTGAGCGTATAACTGTAAAACGGAACAATCTAATGACTATACATTTGTCAATAGAATTATTTTATTTGATACCGTGTGAAATGGGACTATGCATTATTTTAAAACACAGTTTTTTAATGTAATATTAAATTAACATCTGTGTTCATCCTTTTTTAACGTCCCACTGCTGGGCAAGTGCGGGGTGGCGGAGATGTCTTTCGAAAACTTGATAGGTTCTCTAAGACATACAGCATTCCTCATGATGTTTTCTTTAATCGTTACACAAGTTGTAATCGTGTTAGAAATGATTCGCACATGAAAATATCAGAGGTGTGAGACTCGGGATTTGAACCCGCTTCACTCGGTTTTCTAAGCGAGCGCAGTACCATTGGGCTACCATTGCCTTGAAATTAACATCTAAGTTAACAAAATTAATTTCGAAATCGACTCACACTTGATTGATTTTTTAAATCACTTAGATTTAACATCATCCCACCACGCCATCTTCGATTCAACTGTTATTACGCGATTTTGTATTGTTCGAGGGACAAGCTTAACAATTTAACACATTTTGCAAATTCAAAATGGGAAAAAGAAAGCGTTCTGATAAGGAAGGTAATGATATCGTGAAGAAAGTTTTAACACCTCCAGGCTCCAGGTAAATTTCTAAGGATTAAAGAGAGTAAAATTATGAAATCAATAAAGCTCTACGGTGCAATAATGTTAATTAAATTTCAGCTCAATCTGCTTCAGGTTAAATTTAAATATTTAAATTTACAAAATAGATAAATACTTCTATATATAATATATTTTAACCCTTTGGGCCTTGCCATAGTCGGAAAAACGTTTCAAAACAACACATTTCCATATCTTACTTCTCTTAGTTCTTATTATGAGCCATGCTATGATATATGGAGGTAATTGTATTATTTCATCCATTTAAATGACCTAGCAACATTCTACTGAGATTACCACGCGTAAACCTTTCCTAATCCATTATTTATAGCTTTCCAACTAGATCGTTCTATTCATACTAGATATTGTAACAAAAGGGAAAGCTTTTTTAAATATTCTTTATTATTTACAATGTAGCGCTTGTGATTGTTTGCTTTTTGTTTGGCTAAGGATATTGATTTATGGTTATGACTAATGTAGTACAAGGACTGTTCTTACCTTAAGCAACTTATTCCAAAAAAAATTTAATCTTTTATACTATCGATTAAAGTGTAAAGAGGTTTTTTATAAATCCTTTTTAAATATTAAAATTTAATTAAATAAATTGCTATTACCTAATATGTAGAGAATTGATACTATTAAAAACCCATTACTTTTGTGTGGCGTAGCTATACGTAAACATATTTTGCATGGTAGCTAAATATTGTTTTAGGTGATCGATTGTAAATTGAGTTTTATATCAGATTATGTAAGTATTAATTCAGAAATGCACATAATAATTTTGATAAATATGCATAGCTGACCCATAAATGCTCTCTATAAACCTATAAAATATAATTTTATTGGCCCTTAACGTATACGGTTATACCTATTCGTAATATCTCTTAAGTGGAAATGCGAAGCGCAAAAATAAGTAACCTAAAGTGATAAAAGATCATGAAATACATTGAACGTAAATTATATCAGGTTATTTTTTAAAATAAAAAAACAAAATTGCAAACTTGATTCAAAGAAAACATCGTATACGTTTATGCACATAGGTATGAGATAATACTCATACTAAAAATTTTACTAAATCTAAATACATACATACTACATAGTTTTCCATATGATATGTACATATGAATAAATTTAATAATTATTGTGAAGTCACAGAAACCAAGAAAACTGGTAAATTCTCAAAACACCTCAAGAATAAAAATGTTAACATAAACAATTTACAATGACGTTTAGCTTTGGAGACAAAAGCAATTTATTTAAGTGTCTTAGAAATCATATACACCATTATATTATGATCAATAGGCATTATCAAATATGTAAGAATTTA